CAGCCTTCCAAGTAGCTGGAACTACAGGCGCGCGCTACCATGCCTGGCTCATTTTGATTTATTGTAGAGATGAGGTCAGGCAATTCACTCACCCCAGCCTCCCAAAGGCGCAGGATTACAGGCTGAGCCAAGAGCCCGGCTACTGGCAGATATGTTGATACCAAAATGCCCTGGGCTTTAGGTCTCCTGATGGCAAGCTACAATGTAGCCCATGCACTCAAAGGGTTTCTAAAAAGCATGAAACAATGGAGAACTGATAAACTATTCAGCATTTAGTGCTGTGAAAATTGACTTGCTGTTTGAGTATTCCCATGATATTATAGCAAAAATGTAGATGCTGGATAAATTAGAACGATAGGGTGCAAAAAAAACCCCATAAAGAACACATGGAACGATAAGAAAAATGTCACAGTGGAGATATCAATCACTTTATATAAATATTAGACATATGCTTATTAAATAAAAGTAAATTTAAAAAAATGTCAAGACATGATAGAAAAATCTCAAAATCGTTCACATCCATCATGTAAGAAGTCTATTGATGCAAAAGCTGACTTGCTCAAACCTTTTTGGGATGAGCCATCAGACTGGAGGGCCTTTCTGTAATGCAAAACAAGGTCATTAGTCACTCCTGGTGGGGGGTGGGACGGAGGAGAGATTCTCTGGCTTCTTCCAGTGAAGACACTGTGATCCACACCTTTCCCTTTGAGGTTCAGAGCTACTGGCTGGGCCCAGTTGAGGCCAGCAGGCAGGCCCAGTTACTTGCTACCCCATCACCCCCAGGCCACCCCCACATACACACTATATATATATATATATATTTTTTTTTTTTTTTTTTTTGAGTCAGGCTGGAGTGCAGTGGCACACTCATGGCTACCGTAACCTCGATGTGCTGAGCTCAGGAGATCCTTCTGCCTCAGCCTTAGCTGGAACTACAGTCATGCACCACCACACCTGGCTAATTTTTTGATTTATTGTAGAGACGAGGTCTCGCCATGTTGCCCAGGCTGGTCTCAAACCCATAGGCTCAGGCAATCCTCTAGCCTCAGCCTCCCAAAGTGCTGGGATTACAGATTTGAGGCACCACACCTAGCCTTTTTTTTTTTTTTTTGAGTCAGAGTCTGCAATACAGGACCACAGCTGAATGAACCACAGGAAACACTGCAGGTCACAGCAGGACATTTATAATTGTGTTCTGTCAGTTTCCTCTAAGTGGATTATTAAGTGCATGTGTTTTGTTTGTTTGTTTGCTTTTTTCTTTTTTTTGAGTTGGAGTCTCACTCTCACCCAGGCTGGAGTGCAATGGCATACTCACTGCCACCGCAGCCTTGATGTGCTGGGCTCAGGCAATCCTTCCGCCTCAGTCTTCCAAGTAGCCACCACGCCCAGCTAATTTTTTTGATTTATTGTGGGCTCAGGCAATCCTCTTACCTCAGCTTCTCAAAGTGATGAGATACACACAATATTTTAAGGCATGAGATGGTAGCTGGGCTTTTGGTCATGATCTAGGTATGTCCTATAGTCTCTGGGCTCCCTCCTGGCCTGGCTGACCCTGTGCATTTGGGGAGAACAGCTGTAATAGGCAAAGTGGAGACCTGGTCTCTAAGACTGAACCCCTGGGAAGGAAGAAGCCACAACCACAGTTGGGAAGCACATTATCCTCCTGCACTCCAGAACCTTATGCCAGAGTGCTCCCTGCAATGGAGTAATCTCCTCCAGGTGGAGGGACAATCCCACCAGAAGGGAACAGCGCTGACAGCAAGGAAATCTCTGCTAGGAATGGCTGAGGCTTGCGCTTTCTTCTGCACATGCTTTTAATCAGCCCCTTCTGAACTGGGTGAGCCCTGCTGGGGGTTCTTGGACTTATTCTGGGAGAAAGACCCTGAAGAGGGAAGAAGCAAATGAGAATGCTGCAACTGTTACCTAAAGAAGAAAAGAAAAGTTAATTCATTTACTGGGAAGAAACCCAGTAAAAAAATGCAACTTTACTGAAAGAAATAAATTAAAAGATGCCTATTTCTTCTCTTTCTAATCAGGTATCCTAAAACATTATGAAAGTAACAGCTAAAGGCAGCCACGCCTGCCTCATAATCCCAGGACTTGCTACCAGACCTACTACA